GAAATTCCACATTTGAACCAAGAGCCTCAACCACGCTGCATTCATCCATTAATGTATGAAAATCCAGTCATGTTTCATCCATACGTCTCACATATACAAAACGTTATGTGTGATGGAAATTGTGGATTTCGAGCAATATTTGTTTGTCTTGGGTATGGCGAAGATCAATGAATCTATGTTCGAGAACAACTGGTGGACGAGTTATAAAGTGCATCTGATGTATACGTTATGGTTTTCATAGATGGAATCCATGAACTGTGGACTTCATTGTATTTTTTTGAATCGCCTGCACCAAACAAATATTGTATGCTTATACCTGAAACGGGTATTCTGATTGCCAACATGTTTGGTGTAGTCCTTACTTTCTTAACCATGCATGGTTCTATAACTTTCTTTCCACTTTGGAAAGGTCCGGAAGAATTTTTGTACCATCGGATTATTACAATTTCACTTGTACATGATAATCATTCTGTTATGGTACAATTAGAAGGAGATTGTCCAATGCCTACCATTTCGGCTTACTGGATCCGCCACAAAGCCCTGCGTGTAGATGGATGGGAAACGATGTTTATGTCACGCCTGCAATTTTATAAACAACTAAAACCTTGTAATCGTGAATTTATAACTATAGAGGATTGTTAAAAAAAATATTATTTTTGTCTCTTCTTTGAAGAATTGTTAAATTAGATGATTATTAAATGATTAAATTTTTTGTCATATTTTTGTATGTTTATGTATTTATTAATTTTTAATTATTAGATAATATAAAAATTATGTAACTTTTTTTTATAAGGAGACTTATAGTTTGGGCTTTAAGAATGAGCTAACATATTGTTTTAATAAAATGGGTTGAAATATATAACAATATATTAATATACACTAAATTTTTTTAAAACATATTTATTTAATGAGTTTTCTAAATATAATTGTAGACAGTAGGATTATATTGAACGACGGAATTGAAAGCAATATGTTTTGCATATATACATTTTCACAAAAGGTATATAAGTAAATTAATTAAATTATATATATATATATATATATATATATATATATATATATATAT